CCCGACACGACAAATCCCAGACAGAAAACTGCTGATGCGTTCTATTCATGATGTATTGACACAAATTTCAAATGATTTTCAATGGTGGCTTTGTCCAGTGTGCTAGACAGACTTTAGCTGTTGCGGCGCAGACACGGTGTTAACTCGCCTATCGAGAAGAAACAAAGCAACCTCGGCGTCCGATCGCAGGCCTTCCGCTCCTTGTGTTCTCTCCAGCGCTGGAAAGCTGATCCGATAATTACACGGGTCCTACTTCTTGCCTTAAGCCTTCTTTTGTTCCGCAGATGTTTTCCTCTTTTGTTTTTTATCCGCCATCTCTATCTTTCTGTCACTCGGCTCGGACTGAACACTCTCTCGTCCACATCATGAGTAGACACGCCCCTTACTGCTGATTGGCTACAAGTTTGTTTTGCTATTCGGCCCGAATCCGTTTTCTAAAGCGTTTTTGAAAAATCACTTACCCTGCCTTTAAAGGTGATTTTCTCAATATTTAGATTTTTTTGCACCCTCAGTTTACAGATTTTCAAATAGTTGTATCTCGGCCAAATATTGTCCTCCTATCTTAACAAACCATACATCAATGGAAAGCTTATTTATTCAGCTTTCAGATGATGTATAAATCTCAATTTAAAACAATTGACCCTTGTGATTGGTTTTGTGGTCCAGGGTCACATATTATGTCATATTTTATAAGACAGAAGCAGATTCCTCCAGTTTGCTTTTGTAGTGATGCCATGAATATAAACATGATATCTGGCAGCCAGTTTAGCTCTCTTATCTCATAATCACTGATGCATTAATAATGTTTATTCAGCAGACTTTGAGCTTTATTATAAGTGGGTGATTCTGCACTAACTTAAAAATGAGATGTCTAAAATCCAGTTGAGATTTGAGCACAATTCTCTCTCTCTCTCTCTCTCTCTCTTTTGTTTGGCATCTTACTATTTTTCTTCAATGAATTTCAGAGCTCATTGATATTTATTGCTGCATCAAAGTGCATTTCTTTAAAATGTCATTAATTTTATCTTGACTATTTGATTTTTTTCATACAAAAATATATAAAGGAATTTTGTATTTTTTAATAGAATTAAAGACAACAAAGTTATCTTCATGCTCATCAATTTAAGCATAGGAATTTATTTAATCAAAAATACAGTATAAACAGTAATATTGAGAAATATTATTACAATTTATTGTAACCTCTTGAATAATCTAAAACTTTTTTAATATGTTGTAAAATGTAGTTTATTTCTGTGATGCGCAGCTGAATTTTCAGCATCATTACTCCAGTCTTCAGTGTCACATGATCTTCAGAAATCATTCTGATGCTGATCTGCTGCTCAAGAAACATTTCTGATTATCAAGGTTGTCAATATTTTTGTGAAAACCGTGATACATTTTTTAGGATTCTAAAACAAAACTGGAAATCTTTTGTAACATTATAAATTGTCACTTGATCAATTTAATGCATCCTTGCTGAATAAAAGTATTAATTTCTTTAAAAAAAGTACTGACCCCAAACTTCTGAATGGTAGCATAACTAATATAAGTACACGTGAATTACAGAAATATTTAATTTAGTTAAGAAAATAAAATAAGACAAATGCATACATTTAAAATATATTAAATATCAAACATTAAAACAAGAAAATAGTTTTCATTTCTTTCTTTTAATTGATTTATTTAAGAAATTAGCTACACATCAGTCAGCATTTGAATCATTTTAATATGCATGTATTTTGAAGCAGCACTCAGGGTTGGAGATAGCTCTTTCTGACAGCATGAGTGTGTGTTGTGTGTTTTGTGGTGTCAGTATCGAGGCCGCTGTGGCAGCGTTCGCTCAGGCTCGGCCCCCGGGCATCTATAAAGCCGACTATCTGAAGGAGCTCTTCCGCCGCTACGGGGACGTGGAGGACGCGCCGCCCGCCCCTGCTCTCCCCGAATGGTGCTTCGATGACGAGGAGGAGGATGAAGATGTGGACGATGATGGGACTGCCATCGCTCAGGGCTCCGAGCCCAGCTCCTCTCACTCCAGTCAGGGCAAGAAGAAGAAAGAACGGCTAAATCTGGTGAGAGAAACTCTTTTCGGCTCATTCTCTCATAGTCTTGAAGGAAAAAACCTGGTTTAATGCAGCACAGCTCATCTCCGACAGTGTGTCAGCTCGATATAACCTGGACTGTTCTGCTTAGTGTCCCGCGTATCAGCGTCCTTTCCTTCTGAGTGTGCAGATGTGAGGAGTGTTTGTTTGTTTGTGTCTCAGCACGCTGTGTTTCTGGAGGGAGTGTCTGTCAAAGGAGTCACTCAAGTCACATCACAGCCCAAGCTCGGCCTGATCCAGAGGAAGTGTCAGGAGTTCTCTGAGTGGGACAAGTGAGTCCGTGAGTGTGAGTGTGAGTGTGAGTGTGTGTGTGTGTGTGTGTGTGTGTGTGTGTGTGTGTGCTTTTAAACCCCCCCCAGATGGTTTCCAGCTTTGAGCCCGTGTGACTGATATGCCTAGTAATGAAACTATTCAGATTGTGAGGACTGTAAATGTGTGAGGGGCACAAATAGGGAACAAAATAATACTCAGACATTTTTTTTTTCTCTGAAAAAAGCACATAAAAGAAATAAAGTGCTTAACCTTCAGGAAATGCTGCAGGATGTCCAGTTATGTAAAATAAATATTTTATTTATGGCTAGAAATGTTTGCAACCCTGCTACCAAATTTGATGTTTTCCTAGCAATAAGCATTAAATAAACATACATATTATTAAAATGTAAAAAAGGAAAAAATAACTAAAGGAAAAAAATAATTGAAAAAAATAAAAATAAAAATCATATAAAAATACACCGGAATAGGTAACAGGGTTGCATATTTTAACCTAAAGTAAGATATCATATCATTATGACTCAGTAGGTGCTTGCTGGTTTGGGCCTGAATGTTATTGACAAAGTTTTTGTAATTGCTGATAAAACTTCCCATGCATGAGAGAATATTTGATTTTATACCATTGCTTTGGTAACAGTTGAATTAGTAAGCTTAAATGATGTAAAATAATAAATGTACACTACCTTAAATCAATGTATTAATACAATATATAAAACAACCTGCTTTTCATGCCAGATTTATTTTTTGTTGGATTATATCGAAAGATGTGATGAAACTGATCTTTTCTTGTGTATTCTGACGTACATCAGAGTTAAACTAATTCTATAAAAAAGTAATAGGCATTACATAGGATGGGGACATTGTTAGTTAATTGGAGGCAAGAATGGGGGGGGGGGTTTAAGTGACCAGTGATTGGAGAAGTCCAGCATATGTGATCCGAGAGAAATCTTTCATTTCACTAGAAGACAGAGTGATATTTTTAGATGAAATATTCAGAAGTTTTCGGCGCTGATAGCCTAGGGGGAAGTGCGCTGACATATAACGTCCCGAGTTCAAATCCCGCTTCAAGGACCTTTCCCGATCCCACCCCACTTCACTTACTGTCTACTCTACACTAGCATGTCTTAATAAAGGCAAAATGGCAAAAATAAATCTTAAAAAAAATTCAGAGGTCAGGTAACACTTTATTTTAGGGTCTCTTAACTAGTTGCTTATTAGCATGCATATTACTAGAATATTAGCCATTTATTAGTAGTAATTAAGCACATATTAATGCCTTATTCTACATCCCTAATCCTACCCAATACCTAAACTTAACAGCTACCTTACTAACTAGTAATAAGCAGCAAATTAGGAATTTATTGAGGGAAAAGTCGTAGTTAATAAGTGAATAAGTGTTCCCTATTCTAAAGTGTTACCAGAGGTCAAATTAATAAAAAAATTAATAAAAATAAAAGAAGCACATGCATGGATGAGCTGTCAATCAATAACATGCTTTAGAAAACAGATATTGTGAATATCTATGATATAATGAAGAACATGCTATTTGTGCCTAATAAGTAATGGAAAACATTTCTGTACCCTATTAATGGATAGCGCAGCCGTGATTACTTTCATTGATGAGTGGAGATCAGTTAAGACGACCCATCAATGTGTCCCATAATCCCATGTGTTTATTTTTCTGTGCCTATCTGTCAGATCGGGGTTTCCTGGTGCTCAGCCCGTATCGATGGACCGCAGGAACATTCGTCTGTTGGAGAAGAACGTTTATAAAGTCAGCTGGAAAGCAGACGGCACGCGGTGAGTCCAGCGACTGAAGCACTGCAACACAAACGCTTCCAGCTAGGAGAGCTACACATGCTGTTGTGTTCCAAAACCACTGTGGCATCTCACTAGAAAAACAAAGAAAGATAGCTTAAAAAGGGATATTAAAATTATTATAACTATTTACATTTTTTTTTAAGAAAAATGTAGTTTTTACGATTTTCCTTATAGTTTTGTGGCTATTTTTGACCACCTCCTCTCTAACTCTTCTAATTAAGCAGGCTATTTTTGCAATATGCAAATTAAGTGCATGAATTTGCTGATTACTGAATAGATGATATGTAAATGTGAGAGGTCATATGTTAATGAGATCATGGTTGTGTTGTTAAGTATAATTTAAAGTTTAAGTAGTTTTTGCAGCTTGGATTAACTAATGCTTTCATTTGGAGGGGATGTTTTTAGTAACGGTAATTACATATTCAAAGTTTCAGTTGTTTTTTTTTTTTTCCAAGAGAATTTTATTTATTTATTTTTTCAACAAGGGCGCACTAAATTAATCAAATGTGACATTAAAGAAATTTATAATGTTACAAAAGATTCTTATTTCAAATAAATGTTGTTCTTTGGAACTTTCAATTCATCCTGAAAAAAATTTATCACAGTTTCCACAAAAATATTTGGCAGTTTTCAACACTGATAATAATCAGAAATGTTTCTTGAGCATCAAATGAGCATATTAGAATGATTTCTGAAGGCTTTGCATCACAGGAATAAATTGCATTTTAAAAATTAGAAAACTGGTATTTTAAATTATTACAATTATTTCACTGTTTTTTTACTGTATTTTTGATTAAATAAATGCAGCTTTGTTGAACTTGATGAAACTTCTGGTTTGGAGTGACCAACTTTTATTATTATTCACTTTATTATTATTTTAAGGTTTTTGTTTGGACCAGCTAAAGATGTGGAACGTTTCGTGTAGATGACTGCTCAATGGCTGCAATATAACAAAGAGTGAAAAATTTAAGGGGGTCTGAATACTTTCCGTACCCACTGTATATGCTGTAAACACTTTTTTTACTAGCCTTAATGGCACATATAAAAACAATCTCAGTGTGCCTTTCATGTTGCCTTTTTGAGAAGTCCAAACCCAGATTTGTAGGTCACAGTGAGCTTTGGCAGATTGTGTGTTTTATTCAGATACTTTTCTGTAGAGCCCGACCGATATACCACCTGGATGAAACGCTTTAAAGCTTAAGTCTATGGAAAACCATGGAAACTTTGAACGGCTATATCTCCGTAACTGCTTGGAGAATCCGCACCAAATTCGGGGGATCCCTTCAGCTCAAGGAACCCTCTCGAACGCGAATCGAGTGTATGTCTAGAGGCCCGCTTTCGAATGAGACCACCCCCGCGTCGATAGCCCCCGGGGTTCGGGAGTTACGGG